AGCTTGTTGAGGCTCGTTGCTTTTATAGTGTTGGTTATGAAAGATCCGTAGGTTTTAGAAATACGAACTAAAATTTACATATGGTAATCTAAAAAATTAGAAAATAATACTTTCACGACAGTTTATATTTTTATCGTAAAGTTTTCTATTTTTGTCCTCTAGACTAATGTAATCAGTTTTATCTTTTTCGCTTTTCGACAATCTCAAAATAAAACAATAATAACTATAGTGAAAAAATGCGTCTTGATCGGCGTACAAACACCTACTTTGCATTAGCAAGCCTCAGCGACACTATATGTACTACGACTGAAACTCTTAAGTTGGTGCTATACAAATTATTATGAACTTACTCATGATAAGAATTTTTTAAAATCTTGAATTACGACTAAGCTAACTAATTAAGTTATGATCATGTTTAAGAAGGAATTAGAAAATACATTTTTAACGTTTCAAAGATATTAACACGACTGTTGTTTTTTAACTTGGTGGTTATATTATCATAAGTTTACCTGTCAAGTCATATACGCTTATTATTTAAAAAATTGTTTGATTATTTTTATTGTTACAAAAAACATTTGGAACGCTATTCTACGTGTGTTAGCTTTTACACCACTAGTAGTACTTCGTCGGTACAGTTGTTGTAGCCTGTTTCTACGCTGACGATAGGGAGACTTCAAAACACTACCGTTGTATTTTGAAATGTGCGCCCTGGGCGAAGTAGGTTAGGATATGAGTTTTTTTTTATATCAATGATTGTTTTAGTTAGGATATGGGTGTGTACTTTTAATAACTACAGTAAATATTTCGGAGAAATCCTTTTACCACCGTTCAAGGTATATCTACCGTGAATATATTCAAATCCTCTTTGTTTTACAATGAAATACAGTCTGTAATAGGAGACTTGAAAAGAATGACATACGATTATCGTTAATTTACGGTAAAATACTTTTGAAGCGGGATGTAGCTACAAATCCTAGCCCAAATGAATGGATGTTCCAATGCAGCAAGTGGTTGGGGTTGTGGTATGTGCCAACTGCACAAAATCAACTTGTATTGAGGTGGACTGGTTTATACCTGATACCCCATCAAGTTGGTCCACTAATAAGCTACAGCATGCATATGTCACAGACGGGCTCTTGGTGCACTGGCTTGACCATGGGTCTGGAGGGGAAATCAGTGAGTCAGAGAATCATGAGGACGCCGTTTTGAGTCATCTTGACCAGTTCAATAATGGAGATAAAGCTGTGGATACCTAACTGGTGGTCTTTGAAGAACCAAATGAGTAATCACTGGAACTGGAACTGCCTACCAGCTCCAATTGTTAAATGAAACACCAATACTGGCCTTCAGATCAATATGGATGGGATTGATTATAGCTAGAATGAGCACTAGGTCGAGAGCCTGATGAATGAAAAGAGGTATCATTCTTGGTTTCAAAGCTATCAGGTGATGCATAATGTAATGTTTGCACTACATTATGTGATTGTCACCTGATTATTGAAAGCTGGGACAGTCACATAGTTGGAAAACTACTTACCAAAAAGGTGTAGCAACTTCTTATTTTCCGAGCCCCGAATAGTAACGTCAAATATCGTGTATACACAACATTCTTGTTGCCGCTGAATTGTCAAAGCTAAAGCAGTTATTAGTTCATTCAATTAATGATTGAAAGGAAATAGCATTCCTTGCTTTCAGAGTTACTGGGTAGTAAGATCTGAGATATGGCAGCATGAATGAACTACATTTAGGGGCTACTACTCGATTATTCACAGTTAGAACAGTTGTTGATCTGTACAATCATGGACTGAAAGTGGAATTTCTTTATTTTCAAGCTATCAAGTGATAAGAAGATTTGTGTATGTGATACATTGTGCTATACTCGATTATTGACAGTCAGGAAAATCATTTGACTGAAAAAGATCAGTGATAGAAACCACACTGTCCTAAGTTTCGAGAAAATAACTTCGACAATCTAGCCGAATGGGGAGAACACTACAGAATATATCACCCAGAACTTGCTCAATATTTGATTGATCTTCCTGGAAGATACACCAGATCTATGATCAACGAAGGTATCCAATTTTCTCTGAGCATGTGTAGAAATACAGTAGTAACAGCACGAATATTAATTTTGGTAAATATACTTTTAGTTCAAAAGCCTATACTGAATTTTACCAGTGATTATTTTTTTTATAAAGTTTGAAATAGAAATTAGTTTGATGGTCCCTAGGTGACACTACAGTCAGTAGCAGGTAACTTGGGCGTGACAGAAGTAATTGAGAAGTTATTCATGCAGTAGACACTGGCAAGCTGTACACAGTGTGGTCACAAGTAAACAGACACCACCATTTCAGAAAAAATGAAAATTTTCAGTCATATTCACATGAACTGATATATTTATAATTTAATTAATATCTAGTACTTCTTCCTTTCGCTTCGTGGAGTTCGTTGATCCTTTGGGGCAGGGGTCACCAAACTTTTTTCACAGCGGGCCAGATAACTGAGAGAATGACGAGCGCGGGCCACATAACCATTTTGTTCAATACAATACAATGAATACACAAAAATAAAG